GGGGGGGCGTACTCTCATGTTTTGCACGTCTTGGGTGTCAGGCCATCAACCAAGCGTCCTTGCGTCGGTGGATGGGTCAAAAGAGTTCACTGTTCACTCACCACAGAGGCGATGTCGACGGTCTTGGAGTGCGTCATCGTCACCGTCGCGTCTCTGTGCATGAGCAGCATCGACACCGGGATACCGACGATATTGGAACGCCCGAGGACGACTGCTCGCTTTCCCGCGATCTCAACGCCGTACCGGTCCAGGAGCTCGATGCAGCCCTGGAACCATGGATTTTCCACAAGCCGTAAGATGTCAAGAACAAAAAATACGGTCCAGGACGCAGCCCTGGAACCATGGACATTCCACAAGGGGTATGCTGTCAAGAGCGAAAGGTACAGTCTAGGAGTTCGATACAGAATTTTCCACAAGCCGTATGCTGTCAAGCGCAAGAAGTACAGGCCAGGCAGCCCTGCAACCATTGATTTTCCACAAGCCGTGTTGTTGTCCATAGCAAAAAGTACGGCCCGGGGGTTCAATGTAGCCCTGACACCATGGATTTTCCACAAGCCGTATGCTGTCAAGAGCAAAAAAGACACTGTCCAGGAGCTCGACGCAGCCCTGGAACCGTGGAATTTCCACAAGCCGTACGTTGTCAAGCGCAAAAGCACGGTCCAGGAAATCGACGCAGATTTCTCACAAGCCGTAAGCTGTCAATAGCAAAGAGTACACTCGACGCAACTCTGAAACCATTGATTTTCCACAAGCCGTATGATTGTCAAGAGCAAAACGTACGGTGCAGGAGTTCGATGCGGCCCTGACACCATGGATTCTCCACAAGCCGTATATTGTCAAGGGCAAAAAGTACAGTCGACGCAGCCCTGAAACCATGGATTTTCCACGAGCCGCATGTGGTCAAAAAAGGCACACCTCGGTTACCATTTCACGACAGATGGGACAAGTGTCGTCGATGGCAGCCGCCTACAGGCTTCATTGTTGCCAAGAAATACGTGACGTTGGCACAACTCTGCTATTACGGTGGCAGAGAGTTAATAGGAGCAATTTTTTGCTTTTTTGGCGACAGTATTTTTTTCTCTCAAGCAGTGTTAAAAAATATTCTTGGACAGCTGGAAACAAGCACTACTGCCCAGAGGCTTTATACGAAATCTACAGCACGGTTAGCAGACCTACCACACATCAAATGAAACACGGAAACCACAGCTTTCAAATGAGCCGGGTCTTGCTCTCATCAGACAACCATAAGGTACAGCAGTTGCCGGCGAATATAGGGTACTTTTTCACTACTTTTTTGTGCGGGCCTGAAAAAAAAAACAGAACGGATGCGAATTAGCCATGCATGTAGAACTTTTTGGAAACCCTATGATTTCGCGCACGCGCACATCAGACCAGCGTTGGACAAAACGCAGCCGCTGTCGAGTACTGCACGCTCAAAGAGGGGCCTCTCAGCTATCGGCCGATGGCGAAGCCGAAGGGCAGGAGGCAGCCAACTGGTGGTGTAGTTGGACGCCCTTCCAAGTCGGACAAGAGAGCCAAAACAGCAGCAGCGAGAGGTCCGTT